GTGTGCTTCTATGATGGTGCTGCCCATGCTTGGCTCTTAGCCTTCTATTTCTGTTATTGAATGTTCATGTACAGTTAGCATGTTCCTGCTCTTCTCCTTTTTACTCTTCCCCTTCGTTCACTCATAGCTTCTTCACCTTCAGTAGTGTCTTCTAAAAGGCATGTTCACTCAAGCAACCAATACCTTTTAACTCCTACTGAGTGCCAGGCCTGTCCTAGGAGATTGGCTACCACAACGAGCAAATCAAAAGTTCCTGTTTATCTGGAACTTACTAAGGATAAGTGATAAATAAATATGTAATTCATAATGTCAAGTAATGGTAAGTACTCTTTAAAACAAGGCAGAGTGACTGAGAGCCCACTGTTTTACTCGGAGTATTCAGAAAACACTTTTGTTTAATTTCTATCATGGTGGTTCTCAGACCAACCACCTCACCTGGGAATTTGTTAAAAATGCAGATTCTCAGGCTCCACTCCAGCTGCACTGAATCAGAAAGGGGGAGCTGGCTCCAGTGTGAAGTCCAACAGTCTAATAAACCTTCTCTTCCTCATCCTCTCTTCCCCCTTCCTTGAGACAGGGTCTCACTGTGTAGCTCTGGCTGGCCTGGAACTCACGATGTTAACCAGGCATCCTCGAATTCACGGAGAACCTCCTGCCTCTGTTTCCCAAGTGTGCACCACCACACCCTGCCCAACAAACCCTCCTGCAGAAAGTGATTCTGATGCAGGACCTAGATCAGTTTTCTGCTGTGCCATGAATAGATTTCAGGTATGCAGCCCAATACTGATTTTCTCATGCCATAAGGGCAGCCTGGGGTTAGCTGGGAAGAGAGGTACAAGGAAGCTTCCGGTGTAAAGTAGCCTCCACTCCAGCTGAAAAGGCAACAAAGTAGGATCGGCAGGCCTGACCATAGGCCTATGGTGTGGGGGAGTACAATAAAAGCCATTGGACACTAATCTGCTGCATAGCACTGAATGCTTCCAAGGATCATAAAATGTCAAAATTTGTTGATGAAAGAAACACTATTAGATTCTTCAACTGCTGAAATTTTCTAAGTGATTGTAAAACTGACTTTAAAATCCTTTTAAATTGTGTAAACATGTTTTCTCATAAATGGTAACAAATATTTAAAAAGCTCATCACTTAAATTTCATGCAGCCATTTCAAACATAAAAGGTATACATGTAGAAGTAAACTCTCTATTCAATCTTAAATTTGGATGAAGTGGTTTTTGTATACAAATTTAACATGCAAATATTAAATGTCTAATGCTTCTTTTTCAAAAATTTTATGTGTATGAGTGTTATGCATGTAAGTGTACCATGATGTGCATTGCTGTCGGAGGCCAGAAGAGGATCACTTGGAACTGGAGTTATAGACAGCTATTAACTGCCATGTGGGTACTGGAAATTGAACCCAGGTCCTCTGCAAGAGTAGTCAAGTGCTCTTAACCACTGAACCATCTCTCCAGCCCCCCCCTAGTATTTCTTAAACTATGATTATATATCAGAAATATAAGTAAAGGCTGAGGGTGTAGCTCAGTGGTACAGCATTTACCTGGTATGTGCAAAGTCCTGGATTGGATCTCTAGCGCTCTCTCTCTCTCTCTCTCTCTCTCTCTCTCCCTCCCTCTCTCTCTCTCTCATGGGTCTGTGTCTGTATCTATATCTGTGTGTGTAGTTTTCTCACCAAGCCTATAGATGTTCTTAAATCCTCTCAGGTATACTACTCTTCTCAAATAGTAGTTTTTGTTTGTTTACTCCTGCACTCAGATGGCTCCTTACCAAGGCTCTCTCTGCAACCACCAAAACTAGTAAGTCTATGCCGGGTGTGGTGACACACACCTTTAATCTTAGCCCTCAGGAGGCAGAGGCAGGTGAATATCTATGAGATGCAGGCCAGCTCTACATAGTGAGTTCCACGCAGGCTGGGACTAGGGAGACCCTGTCAAAAAAAATTAAGAGGCGTGTGTATCTTTAGAGATCTTTAGTGGTGGCAGCAGAAAGGTTATAAATTTAAGTTACCCAAGTCACAGCTGCCCAGGATCACTTTTTCATATGTTGCTCTTTCATGTCCCGCCAGAGTGCCCTGCATCCATAGTCAGCAACTGGTTTCTTGACCACAGAAATACCTTCTGTCCTGAGCTTCAAATGCTAATTTGCATGTCTACCAAGCATTTCCAGAGATCCTACAGATGCTGCTGGCAAGCTCAGTATTTCTGAAGCTGAACCTGATACCTTCAAGCATTATCAACTTCTTGTCTGGTATTTCCTCAGATGTCTGCACCATCCACCAACCACTTTTTCCTCCAAAGTCAGCACCTTTTATTGCCATCTAAACACATCTTCCTTCTCACCTGGATTATTGTAAGAGCCTCCTCACTATTGAAAGCCTCTCTGCCGCCATCCTTTTCTCCATTTCAATTCACCTTTACATCATCTGTAATGTGACACTTCTAATTTGAAAATCTGACCAATTATTCCTTCCTTAAACATCTTAAGATCCTTATTTTGTCTATAAGATAAAACCCAAATTCTTTATACAATATAAAAGGTGTTACATTTTTATAGCTGCCTAAGTCTGGTGACCTAAGTTCAATCTCTGGGACACACATGATGGAGAGAGCCTACTCCCCCAACTTGTCCTGTGATCTCCACATATACACATACATAGATACACACACACACATGCATACACACACACACATTTAATAAAAATAAAAAAGCAAGGCCTATATGCTTACCATAAGAAACCTACTTTAGGGCTAGAGAGATGGCTCAGCAGTCAAGAACACTGACTGTTCTTGCAGAAGACCTGGGTTTGAATCCCAGCACCTACATGGCAGCTA